TACCGTGCCAGGTGGCCCGGCTTGGCGGAGGAGCATAATTGTTATACAATACCTACCGCTACAGCAGCCCATATCTACTACTATGGCAGCTGCTTCGGGGTCGATACGGATTCGTCGGGATTTCAATCCGGATGCCTACATTATTATGTTGTTTACCCCTCCTTTTTGTATGATATATTGTTCTGAGATCCTTTAGAGGAGGAGATTCCTCAAGGATTAGTCTTGAAATCAATAGGAGACTGCTTTTGACTATCTTGCTTGCCTTGCCTAACCAGCGTGTCTACTGCGTCAAGTAGTTCCTAACATTTAGAATCTCGGTCTGCTATTAGTAAATTAGATATAATAATATTAGTATTAGAATCAGCTTTTTTAGCTTTTCTGTAGTAAGTTTATTTCTAGATTTAGTTTTTTTTCTAAAATATATTATATATTTTTAAAAATTAGTTATTAAAGTTCAATACTAAAATCTTCTAGATTACTTACTATAAAAATAATATTAATAAATTATTATATTTTTTTTAGTTTAACTATATTTACTAGTAATATTTTTTGTGCTATTTTCTTAATTATAATCTTAATAATAGTTTAGATTTTAATAAATTACCAGAACTTTAATACTGTAGATATAATTATATTTAATAAATATAAATACTTCGAATCTTTGATTCTAAGATTTTAGCAGGTTTTTAGATAATTTTTTTTTAATAGTTAAAATTATTAATAAATTACTAGATTTACTCCAGCTTCTTAAACTTCTTGAAAATAATTTTTATTAGATTATTTTTTTTATTTATTATTAGTAAAGCTTTAAAATCGGATATAATTAAATATTTTAATACTTTAAAAATATTATTTCTGATATTTTTAGTAAATTTTTTAAGGCTATTCTTATTTTTATTTTTATTTATTTTTTTAATAAGTTTTTTGGCTTTAGTAAGATCTCTTAGCTTATTTAAAATTAGTACTTGATTTATCTTTATTACTAACTAAAAAGATTTAGTCAGATTATAAATATTTAATTTATAAAAAAATTATAGTTATTTTTTTTTATTTAAGGCCTCAGCTTGCTACTAAAGCTTATTTTTATTAAGATTTAATTTAAAAACTCCGGTTTTTAAGTTTTTTGTATTATTAGATAGTTTTATTATTATTTTTTTTATATTTATCTTTTTTTTTTTTAATATAATAATCTGACTTTCTAGTCTTATATAAATTTATATTTTTTATAAAGATTTTTTATATTAGTCTAATATCTAATATTTTTAGTTATTTTACTTATCTCCGAAGTAAATAGTTCTAAAAATAAAGATTTCTTCTAACTTTTAGTTAATTTAACTGAGTAAGTATATTATAATAAAAATAATATAAATTTTTTAGATAGTTTTTTTTTTTTATTATTACTTATATTCCGCCGGAAAAAAATATTTTTATAATTTATTTTATTAGTATACTTTACTATTTATAAAAAATAAGTAAAATAATTAGCTTTATTCCAGCTTTACTTATTTAAAATAAATACTAAGAATTATTATTATTTATTTATTTTATTATAAACTAAATATTTCTGTATTGTCTCCAGTAAAACATCTTTTTTTTTTATATATTTTAAGTAATTATTCTATAGTTTGATTTAATATAGCTTAATTAATAGTAATTTCAGCCAGTTAAGTTATAATTTATATAAAGTTAAGTATAATATTTTTTATAATTCTATATATTCTTTTTTAAAATTAAGTTTTATTATTTATTTATTTTTATTTTTATTACTGTTATCTAAATATATATTATTTAGAAGTTTTTTATATATAGCTAATAGATAGATTAACTTATTATACAGTCCGGCTATATTACTAAATATTATAAAAAGTTATTATATATTATAAGAGATTACTGTATATTATAATAAAGAAAAAAAAGTATTATTATATATTATAAAAAATTACTAGATGTTATTTTATAATTTTAAAAACTATTTATAGAAAGATATTAAAATCTTAATTTTAAAGCTAAAATAAATACTAAAACTTAGTTTTATTTATTTTACTTGCAGATAAAAGAAAGTAGATATTAAAAATATTAAAAATACAGACTTTAAAATATATTTAAAAAAATAAAAAGATTAATATAGAGAATAAAAAAATAAAAAAAAATTAATAAAAAGAATAAAAAAATAGAAAAAGATTAATATAAAAAATAAAAAAATAGATAATAAGAAATATAAAAATTAAAATATATTATATAAAAAAAAGATTTTAGCCTCTAGTAAATAATTATATATATAAAAAATTAGAAAGATTATATTAAAAAAAAAGTAAATAGTAAAGTAAGATTTTAATAAGATAATATCTATTTTTAGTAAGATTTCGATAAAATAATATCTATTTTTAGTAAGATTTAGATAAGATTATACTTACTTATATCTTAGTTTACAGAGTAGAACAGTTATAATAATAATTTAAATTATTATTATAAATAAGTATAAATAAAGAATACAACAGTTAGTATAACTCTAAGATTAAAGTATATTATAATAGTAAATAATATAAAAACTACTTTAGATCTAGTAAAAAAGGTATAATTTTAGTATAATCTATTATTTATATAAAGATTAGTACTTCTAGATTTAAAGGGCTTATAATTAGTCAGAATTTTATACAACTTTATTATAACTCTATATAACCGGAGCAAACCGCAGTACAACCACTGTAACTTACCCCCTCGGCCCGCTATGTATGTTCTATGTACGTGTGTGCGTACTTGTGTCTGTGTGCATATGCACAAATGCATGTATTCATGCACGGGGTTGTCATGGTACAGATACAGTACATCTTTCTTTACTGGGGTACTGGGATAGGGGATACTGGGATTCAAGTGTTTGCGAGCAGGATTTGAGATATGCGATGAATAAAGTCTATTCTTTCTCTTGTGA